TTGGGACCAATAGCCCCATGTGTGAAATTTTCATTACCTTTATTCTTCTTTCAAGCTTAATATTACATATATTCCCTTCTTTTTAGGTCTGGAGATTCAACAGCTCGAATTTGGACAATTGGAGATGGGCCATGTAGTTCTAAAATGCAGACTGAACCAGTAAATGTTGTTTTATTGAAGCATTTCAAAGGTCGAACTAATGAGAAAAGCAAGGATGTTACAACACTTGATTGGAATGTGAGGCTAACATTCTTTGTTGTGCCTCTTGTCTTTTACCAATGCTTTTATATGATGGGTCAGCTTGGGTTGCATGTATTGTCAACAAGACTTCTGCATTTGTGAATTTTTTTGGCCTGTTCTCTATGCAGGGCGATGGTACGTTACTGGCTACTGGTTCTTATGATGGTCAGGCAAGAATATGGAACCGGGATGGTAAGCTGTCTACTTCAATGTTATTAATGTGGAAATAGTAGACTTTCTATGAAGAGAGTCATTATTAAGAAAATGCACTGAAAAAAGTAGTAGCAATTTCTTGACAAATCTCCACCTCTGCTTTTTACACTTTAGGTGTTGATTTAACTGCCTGTTTTTCATATTGCGTTATGAACTGAAGGAAAGAAGATTCTTGTCCCAATCACTATAGAAGCATCATGTGATGGCATACAATTTATCATATGTTGTATTTGTTATAGAATAGTTTTTCAGCTGTTGATATGATTCTAAATGTATTTCATGTTTCGCTGGAATAATTTCAATCAATAGGTAAAATTAATTGGATTTGATATTTGAGTTGCTTTTAATGCTTAACTGAGGGGAGTGAGGAAGGCGGGCTGGTGAATGGAAAACCTTTTCTTCTTTGATTAGACATTTGATTGATCCCCCTTTCCTCCCCATCTACTTTGTTCTCTGGTTGACAAAAGGGGGGTTCATTTAAGGACTGACTTAAAAAAGCATTTTGTTTTGTTTTGCTTTTTGTTGTTTGTTTGTTTTATTTTTGACAATTATGATCAGCTATGATGATACTGAAGCTGTCTCTTTGTCTAGGGGAGCTGATAAGTACATTGAATAAGCATAAAGGGCCAATCTTCTCTTTGAAATGGAACAAAAAAGGTGACTATCTTCTAAGTGGTAGTGTGGATAAAACTGCTATTGTGTGGGACATAAAGGCAGGCGAATGGAAGCAACAATTCGAATTTCACTCAGGTTGTTCAATGACATTTTCTGTGATTCTGTTTTACCTTTATCTTACTTTAAACAGGTTACCTTGTATTATATGAGGGCTTTGAAGCAGCTATAAAGTATAAACATAATTTCTACCACAGCCCCCACACTTGACGTTGATTGGCGAAACAATACCTCATTTGCAACCTGCTCCACTGACAACATGATATATGTCTGCAAAGTTGGGGATAACAGACCAGTGAAAACTTTCTCTGGGCATCAGGTTCATTTTGACAGTTACCTTCTCTCTCTCTCTTTTTTTTTTTTTTTAATCTCCCCCCACCCCACCACCACCCAAAAAAAAAAAAAAACTTCCGAATAAAAGAATGTCGAAGACAAGACCTTTATAATGAATATAATACAATGACTTCAAGAAATGCCTATATATAAATGACATTTGAACTGCTTGTACCAATTTTTTAAAATTCCTATATTACCATTGCCTAATAGGTATAATATAGGGCGTGTGTATATTTCTCTTGCTTAGTTCATGGACATCTAATTTTGATCTACATTCTCACTTTGAGCATCTTTGATATTTATCTTAGGGTGAGGTTAATGCTATCAAGTGGGATCCCTCAGGTTCCTTGTTGGCTTCATGTTCTGATGATTCCACAGCTAAGGTGGTTTTGCTATTTCCCCTTTCTGATTTATTCTATCCATACAGTAAAAGAATTGAAATTCCTGCATCCTACTAGCCACCATATATCAGGAATACTCTAGCAACTCAAATTTGTTATGGTGCAGATATGGAGCTTGAAGCAGGATACATGTGTGCAGGATTTGAGGGAACATGCTAAGGTGTGGCATGCACATGAGTTTCATTCACAGATTAACATCTCTTTCCTCTTTTTCACTCATACAATCATTAAAGTTTTGAAAATGAATTGCTATTTTTCAGGAGATATACACAATTAGATGGAGTCCGACAGGGCCAGGTACAAGCAACCCAAATCAGCAGTTGATGCTGGCAAGGTAATTGATTTAATTTAATGATACAATGTTATCTCTCTAAGAGAAGTAGAGAGGTAACTATTATCATTTTGTTGATACTAATTCCATCACAACAGTTGTAATAATGATCTATACCTTTTGTTTTGGAAGAGTACCCCTCTCCGTGATCTATAGAAGATCACTTAGCTTTCTAGTACTCTGATGCTACTATTCTAGTGTCCATAGAACCGTGAATACTTACATTTGTTATTTTCTTTGAATTACTTAGCGACTTCTTTTATCTTGAAAAATAATCGTCCAATGTTTTATACTGTTTAAACTCATGTGATTTCTTGTATAGTGCCTCCTTTGACTCAACCATTAAGCTATGGGATGTTGAAGTAGGGCGAGTTATCCACAGCTTGAATGGCCACAGGTATCAGATATATTTTTGGTTGCTTCAATTCTGTTAATGAAATGCTGGAGTGAAGTCCGACCTTTGAATGGGACTTGGGGAACGGAAAATGCTACATGTACTCCCATTTTGTACTCCTACACACAAAACCTTGATGTAGACACTTGTATTGGGACCCACACGAAAAAAATAACTTAATCAGAATCCGCCACATCAGGGAGTAAGATTAGGGAGTACATGTAGTAGAACTCCTTGGGGAACTGATCTTATGAAACATCCCTTTGACATCTTTGTACTTACTAACGCATTTCACTCTATTTGAAAACCAGGGATCCTGTTTATTCTGTTGCATTTAGCCCAGACGGTGAGTACTTAGCCAGTGGATCGTTAGACAAATGCCTGATCATATGGTCGGTGAAGGAAGCCAAGATTGTGAAGACCTACAGCGGGAATGGTGGGATTTTCGAAGTTTGTTGGGACAAGGAAGGCAAGAAGGTTGCTGCTTGTTTCTCAAACAACGTGGTTTGTGTCTTGGACTTCCGTATGTAGAAAATGTAGAACCTATACTAGGCATGGGATAGCGATTCGGGACGCTTGAACTTTGTCGAAATGTAGCTGCAGTGTTGCATATAGAATCTCGGTGTAGAAATTCGAGTGAGTGATTCAAAACATTGGTGATATTAGCTTTACTACAACTTAGGTGGATAGTTCTGCAACTGTAATCTTCACCTCCTTTGATTCGATTAGACTTTGTGTAGTTTGAACTATTGATTTAATGGTTTTTGTTATGGCAGCTAGGAGCCTGGGGGATGCACTAATGTTGTGCTCTGCAAATCCGGTTGGAGCAGTAAAATTGCATTTTTATCAATGGGATAAACTTTTAAGAAAATGTGTTAAATAGGTCACTAAATTTTTCCATAAAAAAAATGTAAAAATGTGCAATTGGACTATTTAAAAATTAAAAGTTATTTAAATAGTATTTTTTACAAGTTATAAGTTTTCATTAAATATAAGTTTTCTTAAAAATAAAAAGAAAAAACCATTTTTTAAAAAGAAAATTCGGAACAAGGTGGAGGCAACTGGCTATTTTGGATGAAGGGGGAGGCTGCCGTGGCTGTATCCACCTTCGTTATAGATGATGATGGCTGTATCCACCTTCGTATTTTTCCCTTCGCCTCATGCTGTCTCGCGATACCCTTTACAGCTTGATCCGGCAGTAGTCCCTTGACCAACTCCAGGTCCAATAGAAGCAAGTCCGGCATCGTATTTTTCCCTCCGTCTCAGGCTGTCTCGCGATACCTTCTATAGTTTGACCCGGTAACAGTCCCTTGACCAACTCCAAGTCCAATAAAAGTCCTACATCCAACGCAACAGCAATATCGGAAGCAGTAGAAATGAGTGGATTCATGATAAGATCCTCGTAACTTAAAAAGAAATCGCATCAATGAATTATAACTTCATTATTCTATTGGTAGGAAGTCATGGCTACCCCTCCTTCGTCCGATCTTGGTGAAACTCATTTTATGATTCTAGTCAATAAAAGATAACAAGAAGCTAAACCAACATAAGTTGTTCATAATTAATTCACTCAAATCAAGATGGTCAATAAATAACTCCCACAAAAAAAAAAAAAAAAAAAAAATCAACTAACTTTGTTATTACTAAATTAATCTATAACTTGGTTGGGGTCTTTGTGTGCATACAGGGTGATACAGTTTAGTGTAGCAGGTGCTAGGTTTACTCAATTTTTTACTCGATTTAAATGTAATACAAAGCGCTAGACCTTAGTCGGACGTTTGGGGGCGCCTACTGCCTAGATGTGCGAGTAATAATAATAAAAAAATGTACACATTGCATATTAAAAAAATACTAAACTGAGTTGGTCTAGTTGGCGTCGAATTGGTCGACTCGGGCGTTGAGATTGCCAAGTCGGGAGTCAAGTTTGGCTGTCTAAGGCGTCGAATTGGTTGACTCGGACGCCTAGACTGCCTAGTCAGCCGATTAATGTCTGCCTAAAGGTAAAATTTCCTCGTCTTTGGATTCACCACATCAAGCAGTAAAAATACGGAGTTCATGTAGTAGAACTTTAGAAAAAATTGTATTTTTTGTTCTTAAATTATAGAATAATTGTAAAATTCGTCCTTAAGTTTTGATATTGGTCACTTTTCGCCACTAAGCTATTATTGACGTTGCATTTTTCGTCAATAAGCTAACTTCTCATGCTTACTTTTCGTTCTTAAGTTAACTTCCATAGTTCCGTGCTCGCTTTTCTTCCTTAATGTTTTATAAATAAAGGGACCAAAACGCAACATAATTTAGGGACGAATTCTATTCTACAATTATCTTTTATAACTTACGAGAAAAAATGTAATTTATTTCAAAATAATAACCCCTTGGCTGGGCCCCGTGTTTTCTTGTTCGACATGATTAATGATCAAATTTGAAAAGCTGGCGGATTGTCTGAAAAAATGCGGTGCGTGACGGATAAGCTGATCGAAATGGGTGTTCACAAACAAGTCATAGGTTCGTAAAAGTATTCGCCTTGCCGGTGCCTTTTCAGGCCATTTGATTTGCGTAATGCCATAGTCTTTGCATCTCAGAGGAGCATTATCGTCGGTGGAAATGCGGGACGAAATGATGAGCTCACGCTCGCCGGATCGGGAAACCACCCTTCATCATTATGAGGAAGACAATCTTGAACGAGAATCCCTCTTTCTCTTGCCGTCCGATGACGACGAGGCGGAGGCGGAGGCGGCGGAGGAGGAGGAGAAAATCAGGGCAATGGAAATGGAGGTCGCCGCCGATGATGATGCCCCGCCGCCGTTCTCGTGGAGGAAGCTGTGGGAGTTCATGGGGCCAGGGTTCTTGATGAGCGTAGCGTTTCTAGATCCGGGGAACCTGGAGGGCGACATCCAAGCCGGAGCAATCGCCGGCTACTCTCTCCTCTGGGTCCTAATGTGGTCCACCGCCATGGGCCTTCTCATCCAGCTCCTCTCCCTCCGCCTCGGCGTCGCCACCGGCCGCCACTTGGCCGAGATTTGCCGCGAGGAGTATCCTTACTGGGCCACGCTTCTGCTCTGGTTCATGGCGGAGCTTGCCTTGATTGGGGCCGATATTCAAGAAGTCATTGGCAGCGCCATTGCCATCAAGATTCTCAGTGATGACTTCATCCCTCTCTGGGTTGGTGTCCTCATCACTGCTTTTGATTGGTAAATCTCTCATCATTCTTTAAGTCTTGCCTTTGAAATTGATAGTGATTGCATACCTTCTGTAACAATAGGAGTATTAATTAGTATAGTAATACATAGTTTCTGAACAAAACTAATGTTCAATTAGCAATAATGTTAGCTTATTATCACCGTGTCTGTACGGACTTAGCTCAATGGTTCAGTATGCAATATTTAGGGGAAGAGACGAAGGTTTAAACCTCGGCGGCGATAGTAGGGGATTATGCCCAAAGTGGGCAAATCCCTTGTGGGCATTAGCATTTGGCCCTTATGCTGAACCATTGAATCACCATGATTTACATCCTCCCAAATGCTCTCTCGGACCGGGGTGTGGGGCCCTTAGGGTTGGGGATTCAACACTTTTGGGAGAAGCTTATTATCACGTTGCCCGCATGGGCTTAGCTCAATGGTTCAGTATGCAATATTTGGAGAAGACGAAGGTTCAAGCCTCGGCCGCGGCAGTGTGGGGATTATGTCCAAAGTGGGCAGATCCCTTCTTGGGCATTGGCATTTGACCCTGTATGCTGAGCCATTGAGTCACCGTGATTTACATCCTTCCAAATACTCTCTTGGGCTGGGGTATGTAAATCGAGCCCCGACAGCGGCAGTGTGGTGTTTCACCCGTTGGGATGGCTCTTTGTGGGCACCAGGCACGGGTTTTCCCACCTAATGAGCTGCTAACTCACCGTGATTTATCCCTCTACAATCCTGTTGGATCGAAATGTGGGGCCCTTGGGGCGAGAATTTTACAAGTTTATTATTACAGTGACATCTTTAATGATATTAGTGGAGACCAGGCTTTACATGAGCTCCCAAAGTCCCACGAGATCTTATAACAATTCAACTCTGAATTAGTCTAGAGTTTAATATACCTATCAAACAGTGTGCTATTGTCATAGATGTTGTTGACTTGTTATCAATATGCACTTAAAGAGTATTGAGTTGAAGTTTCCTTTTTTTGGCAGTTTTATTTTCTTGTTTCTTGAAAACTATGGAGTTAGGAAGCTAGAAGCTATTTTCGCGGTTTTGATCACGACAATGGCATTATCCTTTGCGTGGGTGTTTGTAGAGACGAGGCCGAGTGGGGATCAACTCATGTTAGGCATGTTAGTGCCAAGGCTTAGCTCACAGACGATTCAACAGGCCGTTGGGATAGTGGGGTGTGTGATAACACCTCACAACGTGTTTCTATATTCCGCTTTAGTACAGTCGAGGCAAATCGATCCAAAAAGGGAAGGGAAAGTGCGAGAGGCTCTCAACTATTACACCATCGAGTCATCTGTTGCTGTTCTCGTGTCGTTCTTGCTCAATCTGGCTGTGACAACCATCTTCGCCAAGGGGTTTTATGGAACTTACGAGGCGGAGAGCATAGGGCTCGTGAATGCTGGGCAGTTTCTGCAGGAGAAATACGGTGGAGAGCTGTTCCCGGTTTTGTACATATGGGGCGTTGGCCTCCTGGCAGCCGGGCAGAGCAGCACCATGACGGGTACTTATGCTGGGCAGTTTATAATGGGAGGGTTTCTCAATCTTAGAATGAAGAAATGGCTGAGATCTTTGATCACTCGAAGCTGTGCCATCGTCCCGACCATCATAGTGGCTGTGGTTTTCAACCGGTCCCAATCTTCTTTGGATTCTCTAAATGAGTGGCTTAATGTGGTTCAAGGTATGCAGATACCCTTCGCGATTATACCTCTGCTAACCTTGGTGTCCAACGAGCGAATCATGGGAGTCTTCAAAATCGGGACCACCGTAGAGGTAAACACATAGACTTCGTGGTTTCGGTTTCTTCACATTGTGGTTTGATTCGCTACGTAATTCTTGATTCGTTTTTTTTTTTTTTGCTGCAGAGGATGGTATGGGGCATAGCAGCCTTTGTAATCGTGGTAAACGGATATGTTATGCTTACCTTCTTTCTTTCTCAATTTGACGGGCTGCTCGTTGGTTTGGCAATGGGTTTTGTAGCTGCAGGATATGTAGCCTTCCTCGTCTACCTCATCGCTTGCCATGGCAGCCATTCTTCGCCGTGGTCTAGCAACACCAATGGATTTTCGCACCTCGAAAGCTAGAATGAAGTTGATCTTTCGATTCATCAGAGGAAAATTTTGATCCTTGCAGGAAACTATGGGAATAGCAGAACTGTTATATTCAAGAACTGAGAATTAGGCATTGTAGAGATGACAGGCCATATGTTTTCATTTGACTAGATAGAATGGATTGGACTAATTTAGCCCAGTCTCGATCAGATCACGTTCAGATAGCTCTCTCAAAGGCGTTGCTGCATACACATGATATAAACAGGTGTATTTTGTGTTTGTTGAATATAGAAAGTAAATTTATAAAATATTTACTCGTCGCTGAGTTTGTATGGTGTTGATCAATGCTAATACCGATTATATTGTAATTCAAAAAGTTTGGAGTTCTACCAGGTGCAATGAAGACAATGTACTCGGTACAAACTCGATACCTTTTTGCATTAATCTTTTGATTTTGTGGGGTGTAATCAGTACTAGTGTTGATCAACATCTTAGAATTTTCTTAAACTTATATGAAGTATATTGAACATTTGAGTTCTGTGTAAATATTATTATGTAATTAATGAGTAGATGAATATTATTACATATTGGTTGTGTTAATATTACGAAACCTCATTGAGGAATGTTGTTGTTTGTTGGGAAGGTAATGGGTAGTCAAGATTACTCATGTATTTAGAGAACAATTTTTTTTTTAATGGTATTAATAACTATATTACAATGCAGTATCTGTTCGTAATTACTTTCTCAACCTACTAAAGTACAGAAAGCTAATAGGGCCTCCAACACAAAGAACGTGAGAGTTTAACTTGGTGTCATTGGACCACAAGGTAAATATATGTGTAGATCATACCTGTAGAGTTTTTTGACTACCTCATAAGATTTTGACAAAAAACGGTGATAGAGCGCGGGGTTCAATACTTTGATATTTCTATTGTTTCATATTTATATATAAAAAATTATCTCTAATCTCTAATAAAAATTCTTAAAATTGTGTACACCTAGAATTCAATATTCCAAATATATAAGAGAAAAATGTCAAATAGGCTCTTAAACTTTATACGGGAAGCCAATTAGGCTCTTGAATTTTTAAAAATCACAATTAAGCTCATCAACTAGTTATTTTTGAGCATCGAAGTCCACAAATTGAATAGTGACCTATAATAGCAGGTCACTAAGGTTCTGGCGAGCTCCAACAACGTTTCGGACTTTTAAAAGTTCATAAGCTTAATTAACTTCTCATATAAAGTTTAAAAAAAATATTTGGCCATTTTCCCAATATATAATATCCACATGTAATTTACACACAACTATATTGTGATATATTCATATAAAGGAAACAAATATTATTTTTGTGTAACCATAAAAAAAGAAGTTAAAAGGCTCATATAGTGGTATTATTAAAGAAAAAACTGTTGTGGCTAAAAAAGGCAAGGAAAGATGTTATGAATAGTGGATACCCAAAAGAAAAAAAAAATCCGACAATCTTTTTTTTTTTTTTTTTTTTAAGTAAAAAAACTTACTATTACACGTCTAACATGGCGCATGTTATGCACGCGCATACTAGGCACAAATATTGCGCTCAACACGCAGAGCTTATTTTTTATTTATTTTTTCTCATTTTCTCTTTTCACTCCAGTCCAACTAAAAATCATCCCTTGCAATAATAACAACCACCTAAAAACCATTTTCTCCATTAGCGTAAAAATCATAATTTTTTTTCTTTAAAAAATTCATTAAAATCTACTAATGTGTTTGCTCTTAGTCTCAGCCCATGTTTGCATGTCCAATCAAGCCCTCTGTTTGGTTATCAAGAGTTAGTTTCACACCTTCATGATAACTTGGAACCGTGACGATTCTTCCCAGACCAGCTCCCAGCCTATTAGAGCGAACGGAAATTAATCGGATGGACCTGAACCGTTAAACAGACAGAGAAAGATCTGACCACCTCGTGGTTTAGAAAAAAAAATGATAACTTGGAGCCAAGAATGCCTCAAGGAGAAACACATGATATGCAAAACTTAAAAGGACATTACCTGCATTTATCAATTATGTTTGTAACTGATTAAGGCCATTAAGTTTGTAGCTATTAGGTGTTAATAGCCGATCATAATCAATATTAATTATTTCGAAATTATATAATTTTCCCCAAGAACAAAGGAAATGGATACGGTCACATTTTTATAACAATACACGTGTTTAATTATTTATGAGTTTTTTACTCCCAAGCGCTTTTCTATAACCAAATTAAAGTATCTCTATTCAAATTTATGTTCTTAATTAGTATGACCATTGAACTCGTACTATAAAACCAACACGTATAATCATTAGGAATACACTATTCACACCTTAACATTAAAAAATTTGTAATTTTCCATACTAAAATAATAAATAATGTTCACTTTTTAATATGACATTTTTTTTTAAAAAAAAATAACTCACTATTTTTATTAACTATTCATGAATTTATCAATCCCAACTAATAAAGAATCAATACAATAATTAAATACATAAAAAGAATTTAAGAAAGTGTTTTTTTTTTTTTTTTTGTAGAGGAATATTTTTTGAATGCTACTAGCTCTATTACATTGTAGTATCTGTTCATATACTTTCTCAATCTACTGAAATACAAAGAGCTAATAATAACGTCTCCACTGATGCTCAAACTTACAATCTTCCAAATGGAAGTCCAACCCGGGTACCATTAGATCACATAGTAGGAAATATAAATATTACTCAAATAACAATTTGCAACCAAATTTGGAGCACCATTTTTAGAACTTTGTTTTCTAGTACAATAGTTAGTAGGAAAGATCTAACGTACACTAAAAAAGTTGATATGTCTTTGTTAAATAATAATAGTAATAAAATAATTACAATAATAATTTTTAATTTAGTTGGTCTTAACAAGTGAATTTTAGGTACTCTTATGATTCATTTTCTCATAACATACATTTCCTAAAATTAAAGCACTTGCCTTCTAGGGATAATTGAAATAAAGTCTCAAAAAGATAGATATTACTAAATTAGAAAATGTTGTAATACCTTGTTTATATTTCTAGAAGACTAAAGTAATGAAAACAACTAATGACCTTGTGGTCCAATGATATCAAATTGAACTTCTAAATGTTGTGGATTCGAGTTTTGGTGGAGGCGTTATTGACTTTCTATGCAAAAGTTTGTAACTAAACACACCCTAAATCATGTCACATTCCCCTACTAAAACCATTCTTTTGAAAATGCATTTTACAATTTTTTATAAAAATAATGACACATCATGAGAGAATCAGCAATGATTATTAAGTGAGCTACAAAAGAATAAGTCAAAGCATTCTTTGAGTAAAAGTCAAATTCAGTGAACGTCACCGAAAAATAAATAAATTTAAATAATATTAGCTAAAAAAGAAAGGAAAAATGACACTTGTAGTCACTTAGTTATTATTGTTGGGTAGATCTAGTCCCTTAATTATTTGTAATGCAGATTTAGTCATTTAGTTATTTATTAAGTGACAAAAAAAAAAAAGAGACAAATCAAAATACTTTATTTATTTGTTTTATTCACTCACACCCAACAAGTTTTCGAAATGAGTGGTTGATTGAGTGAAACATGATTCTTTTATTTGGATGGTCACAAGTTTAATTGGGTGCACAACTACACATCACAACTTTATTAAATATTGAACACAAATTAAAAATTAAACTTGTAATATTTATTTAAAAATTACAGCTTTACATCACCCAACCATTAAAGAAAATAAACAATAATAGCTCCAAAATGAATAATCAAGTGTATGGAACCAGATTTTCGTACTTAATTCGACTCTTATTAACACCTTATTGACTGAGTTTCTTCATTATCCATAAAAAATGACAATAACATTCACACTAAGAATACAAATTATAAAATAATTGTATGATTCGTTATACGAAGGTATTAAATAAAAATATTTATAAACGTGATGATTATGTTTATGTATAAGATTTTATGTCTATTTATTCTGTAATATTTAATATTTAATATTTAATATTTAATAATAATAATAGTAATAACAAAAATCCATATTCATAGAACCAAAAGTTCAAAATGTGAAAACCGATTTTAAAAAGGCTTTGCTTACTCTTGAGTCGAGTCTTCACTACTGGAGTTTCAACCCATTAAAAACCTCATTTTTTTTCCTTTCTTTCTTTGCCGATTCTTTTTCTGTAACGGCGACGATGGAGAGGCGGCAACAGCAGCACTGGGGAGTGAGAATCCCGTCGTATCTGCAGCCGGCGACGGAGACGGAGACGGCGCCTCAATCGCACCAGAATTCTCCCCCGCAGCGGAGCAGCTTGGCGGAGATTTACCCAAACCCCCCCGAGGTTCTTGGCCTCGAATCAGTTCTCTCCAATCTGCGCGTGTCGCCGGATTACGGGCTCCGTCGCTACCACCCTCTGGCGGTGCCGGCTGCGGGTTCCACGTGGGGCGGCGCTGACGTGTCTCCCGGGTTGCGATCGGAGCCTGGGTACCAAGTGACGAGTGGCAATGTGGACGTGCAGGGTTTGATGATGATGATGATGAGGAGGAGGAGGGCCCAGAGTCAGAATGTTGGTTTTGCTGGGGATTTCTTGAGCTTTGGTGGGCCCCACCATAATCTGAATGTGGGCCCGGCCAGGAGCTGGCCCACTACAGCTGCGGATGGCGGCGGCGGAGCCGGAGCCGCCCGGAATCTCGGAGACGCCGCCGCCGCCCAGCCATGGCTGTGGTATGGCGGCGGCGGAGGAGGTGGCGGAGGAGGAGAGCCTCTGAGGTCTAGAAACAGTGAAATGGTTTATCATGAGCAGGACCCTTTCTTGCTCTGCAAGAAACCATTTCCAGGAAACCAAACTCTCCCATTCCCTAATTTGAACCAAAATTCTGCTCAATCCATGGACGTTTCAATGCCCAGAAACCCGAGCTTTTTGAATGCTCTGACCTGTAATTTGAACCAGAAGGATGAAATTCATCAGGGAGCCTTGAATCTTGAGGATATTCGAGGAAAGATAGTTTCTTTAGCAAAGGATCAAAATGGGAGCAGAATATTGCAGGATAATCTCGTGTTCTTGGACAATGAAGGAACTGAGATTGTACTCTCTGAGGTTATCGAATACTTGGGCGATTTGATGAAGAACCAATCTGGGAGTTACCTTATTCAGAAGCTTTTCTCAGTGGGCAGTGAAGAACAAAGAACTAATATCATTTTAGCTGTAACTAAGAAACCATTTCAGCTCGTCGCCATTTGCCTCAACCCCTTTGGGTATGCTTAATTCTCAAGATTTTTCAAAAATTTTCATTTTGAAATATATAATAAACTGATCTTGTGTGTGTGTTTAAGGGCCCGAGCAATGCAGAAATTGTTGGAAGATCTTAGTTCGCCGCAGCAAAGATCCTTAGTAATTGCGGCTTTATGCCCTGGTGCTGTTACATTGGCTTCTGACCCCAATGGCCACCTTGTGATTCTTTACTGCTTGAAAAATTTCTCCTTTGAATACAACAAGGTAACGGTTAATAGCTCTCTTTATCAGATGCTGCTAAATGTTGATGAAACTTATGTTTTTATATATTGTTTTTAGTTATGTTGGGTGACAAAAATGTTGGTAGAGACTTATATGTGGCAGTTGAATTCGTTTGATGTCTTGTTAGATTGTATACTCTTATGTTTGTCACCTCTAACCGTTATATTTCATAGTGCTCAGTTGATTATGTAAAACCTAATAGTATGAAAATATGGGAATGGTAAAGATTCAACACTCCTTCAAGCTTGATAATGTATCAATTCACTCCGTATCTATATATAATTGAATGATACACTCTTCACCCCTCTTTTGAGGCACGGTTCATTTTCTGTTACCATCAAGAACTGGATTGATAAGCACCATTTCAATGGTTCCATTCAATAAAGCCGTTTTATGGGTGCTGTAAATTGTGTCTCTTCTATACTGAAATTTAACACTTCATTCGGAATAGAAAGGTGTCTTGGATAACTAAGAGCAATTTGAGTTTAAAATTTTTTATGGGAATAGCTGACTTGAACTATATGAGATGATGCATCTTAGAGTCCCTAATTTGAGTAGAGAAAGGTTCCTTTCCCTTCTAGGAATCTGACTATGCACGAGCAGTAACTTTGAGCCCCACCCCACTTTTTTTTTTTTTTTTTTTTTTTTTTTTAACCATGATTTGGCCTCAATTTGTTCATACTCGACACATGAAAGTTGTAGATCTTTCTCTTTGCTTTCAATAGAATCGTGAATAGCATCAATCCAACTTTGTATGGAAAAGATATATCGAAATTACTGAAACATGTCAAGGTTGTCGAAAAGTTGTAGATTTGCATCATTTGTTTGCCATTGAATTTTGGGCCTCCATTTGGACTCGTTGAATAGTGTAAATTAATTAATTTTGGCTAAAGACCTAAAGTATATCCACCACACCAATAAAACAGTTTCCTCCAAATTGGGCTATGTTTGGCATAACCCATATCCTCATCGGCTCATCACAAGTTATCGAGACTCAGGGAGGTCATGGGTTTGAGCCCCAATGGGGCGGTATTGACTCTTTGTGCTTCAGTAAGTTGAGAAAGTAGCTATGAACAGATACTACATTGTAACAGAGTCAGTAGTACTCAAAAAGTTGTTTGTAGGACCCAGTCCCGAGGCCTTTGCTTCATTTCCAGCAGTCACATTGAATTCTCCCCGACATTTCTTCTCATCTTAGGATGCATTTCATATGTGGTGACTGGTGAAGGTCTTCTTGCATCATGTTATGACCGTAAATACCGAATTTATGATACCTCGCCATATTTACTTCATCTAGACCCATCACCTTAGTACCTCACTATAAGGTGTTGGTCTAATACTCTAATAGCTCTCTATGCTCTTAGTGAATACACATACACCCCCCACCCCTCTTCCCCCAGCCTTTCTGTCCTATTTTACGTGTCTGGTTTCTCTTCCCGAGGACTGAGCTTTTAAAATATATTTCTTTAAGATTTTGAAATTTCCATTCTTGAATCAATTAATGCTTTTCATATAGTTTATTAATATCTATTTCTTATTGTCAAATAATGAATTTATTAGTGTCAAAAAACATAAAGATCAATCGAATTGGCTCACAAAACAGTGGCTAGGGCACAAATGTAGTAAGTACTAAGTACAAAGGATTGATTATGGCAATCTGGGCCAAGCACAAATGTATAGCATGTGTATATAAATAGGACAAGATTATAAGTCAAAACTCTCTTGCTAGAGTGTGCTCACTTGGCATTGATAACGAGTTTTGTGTGTGTTCTTTTAAAGTGAATTAATGGACATAAATATCCCGAACAAAACTAACCAAAAACTTAACAATCAGACTAATATTGTCCATTTTGTCAATAGTCAAGAGACCAACACTATTTGATTTTAAAGTCGAAGGGGAAAAAGTGAAATTGTCACTATAGTTGAGGGACCAAAAACAAAAATAGTTCGTATAGTTTAGTATTGCATTTTGTGAATAATCGATTATCTGCTTCATATTATTCGAATTGGTATCTGAATTATCTAAATATCTAATTAAATAAGATTTGCCATATGGGCACGTTATTCTTGTTTGATACTACTACTTTTACATCTGGTTCCCGAGTCCATTGCATCTTTTACTTGATAAGAGATCTTTATTAAATACTCTATAGGTTCTCGCACAATTAGCGGTCTGACAAAAACTATATTTGGCAGCATCTTATCAATGAAATAGCGAAGAACTGCTTCGGGATTGCGACCAATAGAAACGGGTGCTGTGTGCTGCAGTCTTGTATAGAAAATGCTCGTGGAGAAGCGAGGGAGAGTCTCGTAAACGAGATAATAGCAAATGCTGTGCAGCTATCCGAAAATCCCTACGGGTTTGCTTCTGAAACCTTTTTGTTTATCGTTACTTTCTGGGTCGATCGCTAAATAACATGGTTCTTGTTATCTTTTCACGATGCCCAGCAACTATGTCGTGCAACATCTTCTGGGACAAAATATAGCGGGAGTAGAAGACAATCTGCTGGGGCGGCTCAAAGGGAAGTTTGCATCTCTCGCGTGCAACAAATACGCTAGTAATGTTGTCGAGAAATTCTTTGTGAATTCGGGGGAGCAGTCTACTAAGATTATCAAGGAGTTGATCTCGAGCCCGAATCTTTCGATGCTTCTAGTGGATCCTTTTGGGAACTATGTCATTCAGAAGGCATTGAAAGTAGCAAAGGTAAGCTTATTAAGTCATCTTCTTCGTAGCAGATTATGAAACACTATCATAAATATCTGAATTCATTTAAAGCAAGATGATGCTATACCCTTTTTCTTCCCTTGACAATTCGTACGTTCTTTTAGAAAAGAATTGTATAGGGAACATCACCACTGGAAATTATTAAATTTCCGACCACCTGGAAGTGATCTTAAATCAAGTCGAAAGTCTTATTCCGACCACTTTTGGTATCCGGAAAAACCTTGGTTGCTATTTCCGACCACTTTTTACTTTCAACTTGATTTAAGATCACTTTCAGGTGGTCGGAAATTTCATAATTTCTCTCGTGAATGTCTTGTTTAACCTCGTTTCTTGATCATTAACCCGTGTTTCTTGTTCTCCTGCATATGTAGGGCGAGGTGTTCAACGCACTCATTGATCTGATCATGATTAACGCGCCATCCATGCAGAGTAATATCTACGGGAAAATGATCCTCGCTTGTTTGAGTAGGGGCGGTAGGGATGTACATGCAGGCGGCAGCGTTCTCTGTTCTAAGTAGCTAGCACGCATGGGTTCGTCGGTTTCTGCTCGCATTATTGATCTGTCGGTATGTAAACTGTAGCGCTGTGTCATGTTGTTTGTGTTTTTGACTGAATTTAGCAGACTAGAAGAAAGGGATTTGGGATGATGCATGGCGAACGATTTGGCGCCGCAGAAGCATCAAAGAATGTATTTTTTTTTTTTTGTTTTTTTGGGGGATTTTTGTATAATTTGGTTTTGTTTATTTTTGTTGATGGGTGGCTATTTGAGGTATTTAGGGCATGTAATAGTTTTTCTTGACTGCCACTGAATAAATGCTTTCAGTTCTCATTCTGTATAAAATCATAGCCTCTTCATCACAAGGTTTCTTCATTCTTTACTTTGGTTATCTGCTGAAAGTATGCTCTGAATTCATTTATTCTTTATTTGTGTGACGAGAGAAACTTGTGTCACTATTTCAGGGAGTGTCTTGGGTAAATTTACTTTGTGATTTTAGTCAGTAAAAGACGACAAATTATACAATGGACCAGGGTTGACTGTTCATTTTGTAGATTCTGGTCTAAAATAACATTTAAATTATGTGTCTGCGGTAACAGATTATGTAGGCATGCAATTTATTTATTGAAAACGACTTTGTCTACATTTGCCAGAGACAAGGTGCCATTTGCGTAAGACAAGGTGCTACTACATTTGTGAGAGAAAAGGTGCTGGACAACTATAATTATCTGCTAATCTTCCTTATAAAAAGCAACAATAATGCTATCAACTCACATTTTTATTTTCTAAACTAAACATTACCAACATATAGGGGATTCAAATACATATATAATGCATTATATTTTCACGTACAAATGTACAATATTATAAAATTTTTCATAAATTTCGTATGGTCATATATCTACTCTTTAGACTTTAGGGGTCCTTTTTTATGGTTTCTTTTTTTTTGTTATTAATAGAAGTGGTTAGGAAAACGACATGTGCCATTTCTTATCCCGACAACTAGCCTTCTTTAACTTTGTCTTTTGGATTATCTTTCTAGATTATGTCGAATTATATTCTGAATTCCGATAAATTTTGTGTACAAGGAGCACATTTCAACCTCTACTACACACAAGAAGCACATCCCAATCCCGATCAAGTCACTGCCATGCCATTGTGAAAGCAAGTTTTAAGTAAAACTTTTTATCCACTAAACCAATATCTTGGGTAGCTTTCCTTAACTCTACCTATTCCAGTCGTCTGCCTGCGCTTTTAACTTTCAGAATTCTTAGGTTTAACCTCTCTAGAAATATAGCCACCTTAGAACCAGTGAAATAGTGTCTTATTGCCTTTTGATGTCCTACTCAAATGCTCGACATAAACAAGATTAGTTTTGGTGTGAGGGGTTTTAGTATATCTGATCGAGGAAACATGTGGTCTAAAAAATTTGACTTAAACATAAATGTTTGTCCTTTTTGAAGATTAAATAAACAAATGTTCATTAAAATGTCATATCAATCATGTGTAATCCCTAATAGAATGATCAAATGCAGATAGAATTGTTGTATGTTTTATAGGAGATTAGAAACAATTTCACAATCATTTTAGGTCACGGAAACTACCCATCACCTAAGTACGTCAACTCCCCCCACCCTCACGTAGCTTTCTTGGCCAACAATCGTGGATTTTAAAAAAAAATATATAAATAAAATTAACAACCAAATATCTTTCTTGCAAGTAAAATATTATCAACGAATCAAAACTAGAAACGCAGTATCCACCATTATATATTTACTTTTGAAAGATGTGTTTCATATCAACTAGCTAAACTAATGCTTAGTATGCCCCTCACATGTGCGAACTGATTATTTTTTTTATAGGAGCGAACCATAGTCTCTTTTTATTGGGTTAGCTTTGATACTAAATTAACGCATGTGCTCTATTTCAACTAAAATGTTAAATTGATAAAATGTGAACAAATTTTATATGTTTTCGAAGTGATAAAATGCAATGCCATTGGATCTACTTAGGAATATCATTGATATGAGAATATATTTTCTGTATTCAATGATAATGTCTGAGAATACAGGGAGCGAATATATAGAGATGCTAGATAGAATCCTAGTCTAACACGAATAATATATTAGGACTCTATTATCCATATTAGACTAGGACTATATTATTCGTATTAGACTAGGATTCTATCTAGCATCTCTATATATTCGCTCCCTGTACTCAGACATTATCATTAAATACAGAAAATATATTCTCATCTGGTATCAGCTAGGTTTTTCCATGAAAAATATCGGTGTTAATGACGGCTCTGTTCTTGGTTCCCCTGAATGAACTGTTACCGAGACTACTACGATGCCTGCGAGTGGTAGCCTCTCATCGACTCATCACTTTGTTTCGTTAAAGTTGACCTCCCGGAATTATCTATTCTGGTGGACTCATATATTTTCTGTATTCAATGATCAACCTGTCGTGCCCGTAGTTAGGTCCGACCAGCACCGCGATCAGCCTGCCTTTGCCGAGCCGTCCGTGATCTCATGGGATGAATACACGGAGCTCGAAGCCGCATGATCATGTTGCTCTATCCACTGATGTCACTACTGAGCCTACATGTTTTACTCAAGCAGTCAAATTTCCCGAATAGCGGGATGCAATGGATTTGGAATTTAATGCCTTGGTGCACACCAATACATGGCGGCTCATTCCTTTTAAATGAGGTATGAATGTGGTTGGCTGCAAGTGGGTGTTTAGAACCAAGAGAAAAGCTGATGGTTCGGTTGAGCGTTACAAGGCTCGATTAGTTGCCAAGGGATTCAATCAGGTTGCCGGTGAGGATTTCTTTGAGCCTTTTAGTCCCGTGGTTAAACCGACTACAGTACGACTTCTCTTATCCTTAGCTATTTCTCGTGGATGGACTATTCGACAGTTAGACATTCACAATGCTTTCCTAAATGACAATCTTGCTGAGACGGTTTATATGCGCTAGCCCTTGGCTACGGGCACGGTAGGTTGATCATTGAATACAGAAAATATATGAGTCCGCCAGAATAGATAATTCCGGGAGGTCAACTTTAACGAAACAAAGTGATGAGCCGATGAGAGGCTACCACTCGCAGGTATCGTAGGAATCTCGGCAACAGTCTGTTCAGAGGAACCAAGAACAAAGCCGTCATTAACACCGATATTTTTCATGAAAAAACCTAGTTGATACCATATGAAAATATATTTTCTGTATTCAATGATAACGTTTGAGAGTATAGGGAGTGAATATATAGAGATGCTAGATAGAATCCTAATTTAATACGAATAATATAGTCCTAGTCTAATATAGATAATAGAGTCCTAATAATTGAGACATTCAAAAGGTAGGTGTTACGAGAGATTGAGAGGTTTCTTTTAATCATATTTATCGAGAGCAAAATTTGTGTTATTGATAAGCTAGTTAGTATGAATATGGAAAGTGATCTTGAAATTCTTCCGCCAATAGTGATGCAACTTATGATGAATGATCAATCCGGACTCTCTATCATGAAAAAATTGTTACAGGAATCAATTAATTCGAGTTAGCCCTCCCCTTAAAAATTACAGAGTTATAAGTTTGACTTCAAAAAAGTAAGTTAACGTTCTAAAAAAAATGTATTAAAAAAAAAAAAAAAAGTGGAAATACCCCACAATTATTTGTAGCTTTAAATATACGAAGATCATCTCTGCTCTGCTTCCTTTTAGTTCATTCAGTCTGACACCCATTGCACGCACACACCTTCCGCACGCTTTTCTGTCTCTGCAGATGCCATCATTCTTCCTTCTCCACACTTGATTCTAGAGAGAGAGAGAGAGGGTCTTCGTTTCGGGATCTTCTCTTGAGCCCATTTCTACAGTTATGGAGAGAAAACAGGGCTTCTTTTCGGCGTTCAAAGAGGAGTTGGTTAGAGCCCGACCTCGGGGCCGAGGACGCCCCTCGCCTTCCGCTTCTGAAATCATCCGGCGTCGCCGCCGCCCCGGCGGCGAGGCACTGTCGCCGCTGCTGGAGGGTCCGGATCCCACCGGGTCGGACTGCGGGGAGTCCAAGAGCGAAAAGTGGGGGAACTGGATATTCCGGCCGCCGGCCGCCGCCTCCCGCTCCGACCTCAGGCTCCTCCTCGGCATCTTAGGCGCGCCGCTCGCCCCCGTGCATGTCACCAACAACGACCCTTTGCCTCATCTCACCATCAAACACACCCCAATTGTCAGTCTACGTCTCTCCACCTTTATTCTCTCTATATTTTCTTGTTTCTTGATTAAAAATCTCATCTTTATTCACTTTCTTGTTTTCTTGGTAAACTAGTCTAAATTATTCATAGGCCCAGTTCGAGCCACTCGGGCCAGTCAAAAAGTCGAGTCAAACTTGTAACATAATGGTTAGGCCCACTTCGAGCCACTCGGGCCAGTCAGAGAGTGGAGTCAAACTTGTAACATAATGGTTAGGCCAGTTTGAGCCACTCGGGCCAGTCAGGGAATCGAGTCAAACTTGTAACATAATGGTTACCAAGTCAAACAGCCCGACCAGGTTTGCACCACTTTACTAATATGGGAGTTATTGACAGTGGCAATTGGGAACCATAGTTAGAACTTTGAAGTTATATTCCTTAATTTAATGAAGGAATTTAGTTAATGATACTGTTATCAAATGATTAACAAAATTTAGTCAAAGGGTATGTTAATCTTCATAGAAAAGGAACAAGCATTAGACACTTGGTGTAAAGCATAAATAGAGTATAGCTAATAGGGAGAATAATTTGATTAAAGGGTATATTAGTCTTCACAAGAAAGGAACAAAGACTTTTTTTTTTTTCAATTTGTTGAGTATAGATATAGATTAACTTGGATTGAAGCAAATTCAAAGCTATGCTTGCAGTAAAATGGATTTCTTGTAGCTATTTTTAAGGTACAGTAATGTAGTTTGTAGATATGCTGTCAGTTCTTGTGATTTGGTACGAGGTTTCTGTGATTTTGTGGTTTATTAGAGTTTCGGTTTTTTTTTTTTTGTTTTTGTTTTTGTTTTGTTTGGATTGTTCGAACTCAATGGCATGCCTGCAGGAAACGTCGTCAGCTCAGTACATCTTGCAGCAGTATATGGCGGCTTCTGGGGGCCAGAAGCTTCAGAGTATCGCCAATGCATACGCGATGGGCAAGCTGAAGATGTTGGCCTCGGATCTCGAGACAGCCACCAAGGTTATAAAGAACAGGAACTCTTCGAAAACGCCTGATTCTGGTGGTTTTGTGCTCTGGCAAATGAATCCCGACATGTGGTACATTGAGCTCGCGCTTGGTAGCAACGAAGTTCATGCTGGCTGTAACGGTGGGCTCGTTTGGAGGCATACACCTTGGCTTGGCACACACGCCGCAAAGGGTCCCGTCAGACCCTTGCGACGTGCCCTTCAGGTGAGGGTAATTGAAGCATGTGTTTCATCTCAACTAAAAGTCTAAGCTGATAGTTGGATTGCATATTTATGAGCTAAAAGTCTAAGCTGATAGTTGGATTGCACATTTATGTTAAGACCTTCGGTTTTGCTTGTAGGGACTGGACCCTCGAACTACTGCCAACATGTTTGCCAATGCAAGATGCACGGGCGAAAAGGAGATAAATGGCGAGGACTGTTTCGTCCTCAAACTCGCAGCCGATCCACATACATTGAAGGCGAGGAGCGAGGGGGCAGCAGAGATAGTAAGGCACGTTATCTTTGGCTATTTTAGCCAGAAAACGGGACTTCTCGTGCACTTGGAAGACTCGCAACTCACCCGAATCCAAACAAATGGAGGCAGTACTAATAATGCTGTTTATTGGGAGACCACAATCAATTCATTTCTCGACGACTATAAACCCGTCGAGGGAATCGTGATCGCCCATTCGGGGCGGTCAGTGGTGACCCTCTTCCGCTTTGGCGAGACCGCCATGAGCCACACAAAGACAAGGATGGAAGAAGCGTGGAGCATCGAGGAAGTAGCATTCAACGTCCCCGGGCTATCAGAAGAGTGTTTCATTCCTCCTGCAGAGCTGAGACACAGTTCCAACGGGGAAGCTTGTGAGCTTTCTCGAGGGGCGAGAACGAAGAACGAGGCCTGCAAAATTAAAGTTTCTGCACTCGATAAATCGTGTGGTGGCAAAACCAATAGCGTCACATTGGGTGAGTATTTGAGGTGAAGGTGATCATGGAAGTTTTAAGTTTGTGTATCCCAATCTGGCAATCTGTACATAGTCACAGGATTATTTAGAGATTACTTCTCCAAAACTTTATTACATTTTGGTTTTTCAGTCTGTAATGTAATACTTCCTAGGATGAATTCCAATTGTAAGGCTGGCGGTTTTGCATCTTCTATAGTTCTGTAAAATTCTGCCCCTCTGAACTGTGGTTTCTGTGAATAAAAAGTGGATTTATATAATTTCATACATTTACATGCTAATTAACGACTACATTAATGATAAAATAAGCAATGTAAGAGCATCCTCATTAAGGGGATTGTTCACGGATTTTAAGAAAAAAATGTAACATAGAAAAAAGAGAGTGAAGAGAGAGAATGTCCAAGTTCTTTGTGCTAATTTGGAGTTTTTTCAAAAAAGTGGGACCCACTGCATTCTAAGGCCAGTCCCGTGCTACACGCATGAAGGCCACCATGGCGCCCAACGGGCGCACGTGCACTGCACGCACAGTGGGCGTGTTAATGGCGTTCTTTTACTTCTTTTTTTTTTTTTTTTTTTTAATTTGCATTTGTTTTATATTTTTTTTTCTCTTTCCTAACATCTTCTCTTTCCTAATCACACTTACAAAAAAAAAAAAAAAAAAAAAAAAAAAACTATTGATGATGTCCTAAAAAGACCGGCTTAGGATGGCCTCAAGGGTGATGTACTTGACACTTGCCAGTCTGTCACATGACCAAGGACGAGAGAAAGGACTTGACACATGTAAGTTGGTCGATGACATGAAAAAGACTTGCCACCTGTCACTTGGTTGAAAACAGAGGAGAGGAATTGACACCTGTACGTCATATTAGGATAATAGGACATGAAAAAGACTTGACATTTATCGTGTTGAGAACAAGAAGGGAGCTAAGAGGAGTTGACACTTGACACCTACCATATGAAGACAATAGGACATGAAAAAATACTCGACATCCGTCACCTAGTTAAGAATAGGGAGGATGAGTTGACACCTCACACATGTCATATGACCAAGGACAAGGAAAATAACTTGACACCATTGGTCTGGTCAAGGACATGGAATAAAACTCGATATCTATCACCTAACTGACAACAAGGAAGAAGACTTGACACTTACCACCTAATTAAAGATTCATTAAAATTCTATAAGAGATTCAATTGTTTTTCTCCAATAAACTATTATGACTTCTCAACTATAATCCCAATCAAGCAAACAAATATTCTTTTTATTTTTGTTCTTTTTTGACTATTCAACCAAAATATATGGTTTTAATTAAGCAGACATAAATTTGCAATGAGTGGCAAAGCCGTGGGTGTGTAACAATGCATGATGGGTGATTATTGCAGAGGGTCACGCTGTCGCTATGCAGTGGGAGTGTATATTTTTCACTCTTTTAAAAACATACATTTCTGCACCCACTCTAATTTGGTTGTGCACTTTAGAAAATTTTGGCATGAAAGTGAACCACAAGAGGGTGGCCACGGGGCACCGGCGGATGAGCTATACTATGTGTACTTCTAAATTTTATTTTCTTAAATTTACTCCGTAATGTGTTGAGTGTTGATATAATTATTATACCATAGACCAGAATTCATACTCAGATATAAAAATTTGGTACCTTCAGTTAACATATCGTATCTACACAGCTACACTTAATAGTTTATGTACATTTCAACAATAACAGGATAATTGCTGACATATATTATGATAGCTACAAGTACAGAAACTATCAACTGGATGTACAGAATGTGTCAACTATATATGCAGAATCTGAAGATTATTTTTGGATAATTGTTGACACATAATATGATAGTTAAAGGTACAAAAATTATCAACTGCAAATACAGAATGTGTCCACTATAGATATAGAATCTGAAGGTTATTTTTGGACTAGAGTTTACAATGCAAGGTAGACCCTGATCCATGATATAATTTGCTGCGCTGATATGTTATTTTCTTTATGTAGGCGTTTATAAAAGTGTCTATATCAAAATTTTAAGTGTGGAATAAAAGTTGAGAATAGAAATCGAAATTAGATATTGTATTTTCTGGGGTGATAAAGAGAGAGATGATTAATGATTGTACCACCCAGGGGTTTCTGTGCTGTCTTTCTACACCAATATATTATGGACGCATGCACCAACGCCGGCCTGGAAAATATAATGTTAACCCTAAACAAGTCATACCATACACTCCGCTTAGCTTTTTAATGATTGGATATTTTATATCTCACTTGTAAGTTGTAACTTCAAATAATAAAACTTTTCCGCAGGGATAACTCAGTTGGTTTGACCAATTATTCTAAAGTGTTGCTTTAACGGCAGTGTAGGGATTCAAATTCACTGAGAACCTAAGGGGTCATTGAGGACCTTGACCATCAGAGGTGATGAAGGTCCCTTGTACACATATATATGCAAGGGGTGACAACTTAAAGATTGACAGGACAACTCACAATTTACCTCCTGCTCCAGCCGTATCAAAATAATAATAATAATAATAATAATAATAAGGCTTTTGGGCTTAAAAGGAATCAAAGATTATTAAGGCCACAGCAAATCCACATAAATGTGGGCCTAAAGTTGGATTCTGGCTTAGTATTCAAGTTTTCTTAGGTTAAAGGCCCTAGTGATAAAAGCACAATTGTTATGCCACGGACCCATGTCTAAAATGCGTGTCTGGAATAACGGTGTCTTAGTGGCACCACTTCCTCAATTAATGATATTCTTTTTGTACTGAGTGGCTTATAGTTCATTGATATTTGATTTGTTTTCTTATGTGGGAGGTCTAGTGTTCGAGTTTTGGTGTAGGCGAATATTGTGTGTATATATTCTTTTGTAATAAAAAAATGATATTCTTTTTGTGAATATAGAGGAACGAATTCTCAAGACAAACAGAAAATTAATTACAAGGGAGGAAGCAATTTTTTTTCTTTTTAATTAAGACGGTACCGTTTTGAAGCAAAACGATGTCGTTTTAGACCCGGGTCCACAACATAATTTGCAATAAAAGCAAATAAATCTAGTTTCTGGCAACCTTAATCAACCTTATTGTGTGTGTGTGTACGCGCGCGCGTGCGTGCGTGTGTGTGTTACTTTTGGTCTAATTGTACAAATTTAGCTTGCTTAGGGAGTTAATTGTATTTTTTAAAACTTTTGGTTAATTGTACAAATTTAGCTTGCTTAGGGAGTTAATTGTATTTTTTAAAATTAGATGACCTAATTACATTTTCTCTTTGGAAGTTTGGAACCCTAGTTACCCGTGAATAACCAGGTTATTGGACCTAATGCAAAAAAAGAAATGATAAATTGGTATGTTTAATTACAACTTTTTAAATTTCAAGAAATTATTATTATTATTATTATTATTATTATTATTATTATTATTATTATTATTATTATTAATATTAAGTTCAAGGATTTTTTTGACCATTTTCCTTTACAATAGGATTATATATGTCTTGGACTTTGAATTCATTGTCCAACAATTGTAATCCTATCATTCCTATGTAGTACGTACTTATATATTATTATATGTTTTAGAGGTCAAAGTAGCTTTGAGAGTTTGGGGTCCCTATATTATAGTGTTTTGTTCAATTTAGTCCTTTTACCTTAATTTTGTTCAATTTAGTCCCTATACTTTTAAAAGTGAAACAATTAATGACAATAGCTTATATTTATATATTTATTTTCGACATATTAATGTAATATATTGGTGGTAAAAATAATTAATTTAAATATTTATAAAATAATATATGAATTGGCATGTAAGTATGATGACTTGACAGATATGATGTCAACGCCACATCAGCTATTGTTCTTAATTGTTTCACTTTCAAAAGTATAGGGACTAAATTGAACAAAATTAAGGTAGGACTCAATTGAACAAAACATTATAGTACAGGGACCTCATAGATACTTTGACCTGTTTTAGAACATAGTTATTTCTATATTATCTCACACATTCTCTCAATTTGACCATGCAAGTCGTACTAAAGAATTAGTAAGAACCGAACTTGTAATATCAAGTATGAGAATCATACTTCACTTACTTGATCACTTCTTTTGAACATGCACTAACTTAGAGATTGAGAGAGAGATTAATAAACCTAACAAAAATGAAAATTCAACTCTAAGAGAATTTTAAAAACAATCAATAGAGGCCTTTTCTGCCCCCCTCTCTCTCTCTCTATATATATATATATATGTGTGTGTGTGTGTGTATGTATAAGTTTAATCCATGAACATGCTCCTCTGATCTCAGCTCTTTCACAATATAATGCAACTAAATTTCCAATTTAATTCTGGTAATTGTTTAATGAATATGGAGTTGTGGTCCTTACCACAAACCCCACATCCAAGCTGCAGAATAATGGTGATCTGATGATCGCAGTTTAATTTGTACCATCATATGTTACCAGACAAAAAAGAAACAAATTAATATATAGTACAAAGCTAGGATTCAGGCAAATCACCATGTTGACTGCATATAAAAATGGTACAAATATTCTGTGGCAATGCCACTATATCAACATTTTATGCTTACTGCTTAGTGCTAGCTGCATATCTGCCTGGACTCACATTGTTTCACCCATCACACCTTTCTTCAAGATAGTGGGCATTCCTGCAGAAACATCAAACCACATAGATGGGTTATTAGAAAATTAAAAGAACAAATCTTCAAGTGTTTATATGTTTTTTTTTTTTAGTAACGAGAGAAACTCGCAGTCACTACTCGAGGTTGTACGTGCACTGGGTACCTGCCAGCTCAGACCAAGAAGGAGCCAAACTTGTAACCTTATCGTTATCAATTCAATAGCCCGACCAACTTAGCTGGCACTGCCTCCCAAAACCTACAGCCATTACCCGAGTGTGTGCATTGAGTAAACCCTATCAGCTCAAACTAACTAAGAAGGCTAATAAGCCGTTTTGAGTTGACTTGTAACCTTATGGTTACCATGTCTGGATGAGGTTGTCCCCAAAATCTCATATTATAATATATGTATGATCAATCATTCAACAGGCCTTGAAAAACCTGCCTTTCTGTCTGCAATTTCTGGTTTTGCTTTTGCTTTTATTGTTGTCATCATCACCAATGGTGTTGTGTTTTTGTGTTCCATTGCAGTTGGAGAAGAGCCAGGTGGAGTCCATCTGCTTGGTGATCATCCTGACTGCATAATAAGGGATGATCTTCACACCCTTCTTGGCTCCAGCAGATTCAGACCTGAAACAGGTGGTGCTGATGAACATGATGCAATCCATCAAGCTCTGCTTAGCCAGCCCTTTCATGTCATAAGCCTGTGATCTTCTCCACAGGCTCTTGGCATGAGAGTTTGAGAGGCAAAGTGCCCGAGTCGTGTCGCTAATGGCTCCATCAATCTCCCCCACCACCAACCTGCACTGTGCTCTATTGCTGTAAAGCACAGCCCTTTCTTTTCTGTATTTCAATGGGCAAAACTCCAAGGCTTCTGTGTATGTGATCTTGGCTTCTGCAAATTTCCCCAGGTTGAAACTATGGTGTCCTTGTTGCTTCATTAGACTAACCATAACCCTTTTCTCCTCAAGCTTTTCTTCACACATGGATTGCTCTCTCTTCCTCCTCTCCACCTTTAAACCCCACACTTCCTCCAATGCCCTTTCACCTTCTGCATTAATAATCTTGATTTCAACTTTTCTTGATCTCTTCTTGAAATCTCTCAAGAGTACTCTTGAGATTGTTTCGCCGACGTTTAGTCTTCCCCCGAGGCTTCTAAGCTCAACCAAATCCACAAGACACAAAGCTGAGGTTTCTAGTACTTTGTACCTAGTATCCATATCGGATAGGAGGAGAAGAAGACAATCAATTCCCATGTATTGCCAGTCATCTGAAGATCTTGAGAGGTTGCAGAGGCTCTTGAGTGTTTCTGGGGATTCAGATATGGATTTTCTGCCATATTTGTTGTAGCAAAGCACTCTGATCAGCCCAACACCCCCAGGAGAAGTGTGGTTCACTAACCCACCCCACATTCCACTCAAATCCCTCAAGAATTTTGTAGTGCAGATGAGATCTAAACACCTTTCTTTCACTGCAAAGCAGTTGAGAAGATGAAGGCTCCAGCATTGAAGCTGGGAAGCCCACTCCTCGGCTTTTCTGTTCTCCATTTCTGATCCCCCAACCCCTCTTGTCAGCAAATCTCTGTGGTATTTCACCTGTTGAAAGCAGGAAACTAGTTACAACAAAACCACAAGACTAGGCCAACATAACAAATAAGTCTTAATATCACCTTCTTGGTTTTATCCTCCACGCTTACAAAATCTTTGTACACGGTTTCTAAGCATGTGGAGGCTAAACCCATGGCTAACTTCACGATTTCTTGCTCGAAAACCGCCACGGATTTGAAGGTTTTCTCGTAGCTTGCTAAGTGCCCAAGCGCTCTAACGGCCACCCTTTGCTCCACCCATGTCATCCTCCCCCTAAGAAGCTCCAGAAGCGGCGGAAGGACGCCGGAATCCACCGCTTTAACGGCGAATCCGACGTTGTTCATGGTGTAAGATCCTATGACGTGGGCTGCATAGTATGGGACATAAATGTTCTGGTCTCTCAGCAGCCAATCTTCATCGTCCAGGGCTTTCTTGATTAGCTCCGCCATGCATTTTAAAACGCCGGCCGCCGGCAGCTCGCCGTCGTTAGGGTCCGCCATGGCAATGCTCCATATCCCACTTAGCACCACAACAAGTTCTTGATCTTGAACCAAATATTCCATGGCTTTGAAGAAGGCTCTGAGTCTTGGTTTTCTGATTGTGGGGTCTTGCTCCTTCATGATGCAGAAGAAACAAGAGCTTGGGTTTTTCTCCATTTTCTCAGGAGAAGGCATTAGATTGATGATGATGATACGAGGTTAATTAAGGTTGTCGGTCTTGCTGTCTTCTAGGGGATATATGATCTCTGGGTTGGAGGTTTTGTGGTTTAATTTGTTAGGGTTTTACTGTGGCCAAGTATGTATGTATATATGTATGTGTAAGTTCATCAGCTTTTGTGTTGTGAGTGGAAACCGCCACCGGCGCATGAGAATGAAAATATTATTATTTTTAGTTAACAAACACTAAAAAGGGAACTTTCCAACTTTAGTAAACAGCTTAATTTCATCTACTACCTTTACATGAACAAGTTGTCACGCCTCACGAATTTAGCTTACTGCTTCACTAGATAGTATTTGGAAGAAAAGATAAAGCTTGAACCTCGGCAATAACAATGTGGGAATTATGCCTAGACCCTGTCTGAACCATTGAGTCACCATGTGAGAATTATGTTCAGGACATGTCTATTGAGTCATTGAGACACCGTGATGAGAGTTATGCTCAAAGTAGGCAGATCTCTTTCTGTGTACTGGTCCTGTCTTATGAGTCATCGAGTCACCTGTCCCTTGTGCGTACCGACATTTGGCCGTGTCTCTAAGCCATCGAGTCACCATTAGATTTTTTTTTTTTTTTTAAAGTTAATATATATACTCCTTAACGTATTTAGAATGACTTCAAATTAAACCAACCACTTTGTCCACCTAGTTGATTTATTTTCATGTGTGATTTGTCAACTATTACATAAACCTGAGGTTTACACAATCTATACTCTTGGGCAAAGGGAACTGGTTTCCCTCATCACTAAAAAAAAAAAAAAAGACATTAGTCTAGTTGATAAAACCCTCACTTAAAATTACTTCTAGCAACAGGTGAAGTTTAATTACTGCCACGAACATTGTGAATTTAGGTTGAACTCTTTGTGCATAGAAGTTTATAGTTTGATGTTGAGTCTCGAAATTATAATTACTTCAGTCGTCCTAGATTTTTTTTTTTAAAAAAAAAAAAAAGAAATATGAAGGCTAAAAATAAAATGTAGACCTTTGTATCTAGCTAGGTTGATCAGTTGATGAATTCTTCATTCTCTCTTGCAAAAGGTATTTTGTCTTATGTGGAAAAGACATGGTGCAGGCTTCAAGGTCGCATCTACTTTTACCATAAAAGAGAGCTGTCGTTAATATTATTATATCCAAAATGGATGGTGACTCATTTTTGTTCTCCTCTTCTCTACTGTACTGTGTGCTTCAAATTATTGTACTTCAGTGTTTGTCTGACGCTTTTACCCCTTGCTTTTTTCACTTTCTCTTGCTTGTGTCTCACCTCCGTTTCTATATAATAACACACAAATTATACATGAGAGATGAGAGGTAAATTGTACTAAGAAGAAGTAAACTTCATCATTGTTTTACAGACATATATGTTGTCTGATGTATCATCTTATCTTATGTGAATCCTGTTTGGATATATAAATGTTTCTGGTTTTACTTGTTTTCTATGCCTCATCAGCATCTAAACCTTAGATTCCAATGACGACATAATATAATTCTCCAGAACTATTCTGGTTTTTTGTGTTTTGTCATGATGCCAACAATCAGGATTCTTGAAATCTTTTGTTTCTAATCTTAGAAATATCACATGCACGTACGAAGAATAAAATGATAAGATGAAAGATAACCCATGTATATATGAAAATTCTTTCTCGGTATAGTTTATATTTGATCAAATTATATATACTATCTTTTCTTTATACAAAATATGTGATATAATTTCGTTAAATATACAATGCAACTATGCACTTCATGTAATTATTAAATATATAGTCATTCGTTGTCTGAATTGATGTCACAACTGAAAACAGTAATTGGTGAATTGATTGCACGATTTGCCTTTTGCCTCTATAGTGGCTAATGGTTGTTATGTTTTGATTAGTAAAGTTAGTTTATTATAGTTGAAGAGTATATATATGACATATGGGTCTTGAATAACAATACATGTCTTTGTATTAAAAGAAAAAAGTGAAATGATCTCATATGTCTATTTGGATTGATCAACAATGTGAAAATAGGGGAAAAAAGAAAAATATGATAACATTTTTGTAATATGAACTTTGATTGTGTATTATTGAACAAGTTTGATAGTGTATCAGTTGACAACTAACAATGCATTCAAGTTTCTTGCACTGATATGTTACTGTGTAACAAATTAAACTCGAGTGCATGCACGTATTATTTTTAGATTTTGAGTGCACTACTGTTATTTGTGGACGACAGTCAAGTTTGTTTACTATATGTCCAAAGTTTGTAATAATTATGAAAATATCACTATATTTTTCCTCTTATTTTTAATTATTGTCTAATCATTTTAGATGGACAGTTGAGATTATTTTGCATGTTTTACAAAATATATGTTCTTACATGAACCTGCCCCGACCCACACTTCCGACGCACTCAACGAACCCTGGAAACAAGTGTTGTCACTCCCCTTCACTATGCTAAGTAACATATGAGACATCCATAACATATACACACAAATTAAATAAAAGTTGTAATATTCTAATGGGCTACAATATTGTTACCCCAACCTACTATTATACATGCTTCACGGGGTAGAGAATTAGGACTTTTATATATATTTTCTATGTAACATGGTACCACACTTGAAATGTGTATAATAACCTAGAAAGACAGGATAGGATAATTTCTTGCAAATGTGAACATAACAGTATAAAGTTCAATCTTTAAAAAGCCATAACATCTTCTATATAGATTTATTATGTTACAAAAATGTTAATTGCAATGAGGCTTAAGAAGGGACCACTTAAAACTTCTTTTTAAGAATGTTCTCCTTCATATCCGAAGTGAAGTTTTGGTCCCCTTTCCTTTTCTCAATGCTTCCGCATTTCCAATTTTCTGCGTTCATTCTGTTTGCCACACATGTTTTTTTTATTTATAAATTTTGAAAATGTAAAATTAAATGTAATACAACAATATAATATCACAAATTTAATTTGACCATATTTAAACCCTAATTCTATGAGATTTATATTTCGATCATCTTATATATCTAGATCATTAATTAAACATATGCCTAATACTTTTTGGAGGAGGGGATTTAATTTAAAAATTATTTTGCCCCAAATCACCAAATGCTCCCTTAACTTGACTTAGGTTAGTCATATAATCCGCACATCTGTTTCCCTACGGGTATGTGATATTAAACATTAATATTTGTCCACATGTATTTAGTCTATTGATTGGGTCTGAGTGGTTATATTTTATCTCCCGGAGAAGTGGTCTAGAACTGTTGCTAGTATTTTTTCTATTTATACCTTGCATGTACAGTGTTATTGTGATATTGAATATACATTCTTTCTGCTCATTCTCACATGGTATCAAGAGCTTAACTCTCACGAGATTCATTATCACTTTTTTCCCTTTTCTTTCCCGATTCAATCTTATGGCGGCTACCTCTACTACTGCTATTATCAACTCTCCGCCCCGACCAATTTCCCAATCCGCCTCACTGATATTAATTTCACAGTCTGGCGTCGACAGGTTCACTCGACTCTCATAGGTCTTGGCCTGTTGAGATACATTGATGGCACAGTCAAGGAGCCTACTGAATTCCTTGATACTAACGCCAAAAATCGGCCAACCTTGCCTAAGTAACGCAATGTAATCCAAGATAAATGTGTAGTCGTCCTTAACTCTCAACTCTCAACTCTCAATGCCTCATTCTGGATTGCTTTAACTATTGTCTTAGAATTCAATTTTACTTATAATTTAGATAAACTCTTGTCGCGAGCCATCTTTAACTCCTACTGATGATTACCCAACTAATTATCCAATGGAGGCAACGGATTAGATATAAAACATAGTACAATATTCTAACATAAAATTATATATAAGTTGGCGTTACTCAATCACATGGGTTCATGCATGTCTGATTGTAATCAAAATAATATAAAATAAATTACATAAATCTATTTTATGAGTAAAAATAACAATATATAAAAATGAGAATATATATATATATATATATATATATATATATATATATATATATATATGGGGTATATATATATATATATATATGGGAAGGGATTATGTGCATTTAAGACTTCTCGTGCTGTTGTGCGGGTGGACGCACGTTAAGCATTAATCTGACGCACTTAAAGTACACAACACACGCACATTAAGCACACAAACAAAACACCTTCAGAACACAACCTCACGCATGTTAAGCACAAGTCTCACGCACGTTAAGTACAAGTCTAACGCATGTTAAGCACAAGCCTCACGCATGTTAAGCACAAAAACACACGCACCTTAAGTTTTAAAAACAACTCACATAAAGTACACACTCACGCACATTAAGTACAAAACTCACGCACCTTAAGCACACGACTCACGCACATTAAGCACAAAACTCACGCACATTAAGCATAAAACTTATGCACTTTAAAGTTTCAACAACAACTCACATTAAGTATGCACTCACGCACATTAAGCACAAAACTCACACACATTACGCACAAGACTCACGCACATTAAGTACAAAACTCACGCACATTAAGCACAATTCTCACGCAGTGAAACACTTAAATGCGCGCCCGAACATATATATATATATATATATAGAGAGAGAGAGAGAGAGAGATTATAAATAGAATATGAGTACAAATGGGGAATGTCTCGAGAAAATGCGGCTATACTAAATTGATCAGAAGTGGAAAAAAAACAGACAATTAACCTTAATTAACACAAGATCATCGTATAAAAAAATGTTGAGCTGCCTAGCTAACCAATCATTCTGTTCAGAGGTCAGAAGGCCGACACATGTGATTCGTTGGAAAGCATTTAGTTAATTAATATTTGTTTATTGATAATTGTGTGGGCATGGAAAATAGGCATCCAGATTAGTTTAAGACTGAACTCATGTATATTAATTAAGGAGATTAATCTGAAATCTACTGATCAAATCTAATTAAGTCTGCATCTCAGGTTTCGAAACTTCCATTAGTCAATAAACGACTAAAGCTAAGGTGGTTGTGCTTTTCTTGGAGAACTCAGAAACTCAGAACTCTTCCAAGTTATGACCCGACAATATGATTAAAGATTTTATTTGATT